GGATTTATAGGGCAAGGGCAAGATAGAGGGTGTTACATATCGCCACAGATGACTGGTGTGCCCCGATTGTCATCAATAAAGGGAGGAGAAGGAAGGGTGCAAACAAAGGGACTTGGTTAGGGTCTTGCATCTTGTTTTATAGTGCCTGGATTGAGCCTCGCCCGTCGTTCAGAGCTCCTCATGGCACCACTTTTGATTGGGCAGTTGTGACGCTGCCATGACCTGAGTCTTGCACGTGCATGCCGGTTATCCCATGAGCCTCTGCTGGAAAGCCATTTGCGCATGGAGTGTGAATGTCGCCGAGCAGTATGCCACTTTCACCCCGCTAGGTGATTCCCTAATCCCTCACTATCGTACCTAACAGCCCCATTAAATGGCTTGGCTTATTCTATCAAAACACCCACTGTAACCATTAATGTAGAGCTTTTTACTTCTGGACTCGTCAAGTTCTTTCCCGCTGCGATCGTCCATGTCTTCCTTATGGCCTTTACCACACCATTCTTTTCCCAAGGGTAATTAATGTTTTAGAAAGGAAGACACCATTCCTTTGGCGTCACGGCCCAAGTCCTACCTCTGGGAATCATTGCCACCTCTGTCTTAATGACTTGCCCGCACCGATTACTTGAGATTTTTGAGAGACCTGTTTAGAATGTTTTGGAGGATGTTAAAGTTGAAGTTACAACTTCTTATATTTACAGAAAGAAGAATGTTGAACCCTCGTATTATTCTTCTAAATGGAAAGTATATTTCCGTCAACCTGTGTGTAACGGGGAAGCATGATATCTGACCTAGGCTAGCGTGTAAGATGTATACATTCATGGGGCACCCACACTCTACAGTTCTCTCTACTAACACAGCCCTTTGGCGGAGCAAACGGTCCACGAGAAGCAAACACGCAAGGTACAGGTATAAACTTAACAAAAGGATGGCTAGATGCCAAAGACATAAATTACACTCGCGTTGAAATTTCTGTATAGAGCTTAGCACATTTTAGCTGGCTCTCCGTAAAACCAAATGCTTCCACAGTCTCAGTGTGCTGTGTGTTTCTTTAAAGTATTGCTGACGATTCTCTCCTCAGCCTTAAGGTCACCTCACATTATTTGGAAATGGAGAGTGCAAAGTCAACGACTTCAGTTCTCTTTCATGGTTTCAGAGTTTGGTTTTTTACTTGTTAACCGCATTCTCTAACTTTTGAACAACTAGTATTTTATATTTTATAAACAGTTAAACTTTGTCCAGGCTACAGACGATACAGGGGGAACACCTTCTTATATAGAAAAACAATAGATTTAGCTAATAACTATTTTACAAATAACCAGATTATTCGTCGTGTGTGTGTGTGTGTGTGTATAGCAGATACCCAATCTTGTTTCAGTTACGTGCGATGACTGATACGGCCGCCGTCATGGTCGTACCAAGATCTGTTCTTAAAGACTTCCTTCCTGAAGTACTCTGTGCAGTTTAAAAGTGATGCAATAGAGTTGAGTTGAGCAAAATGTAACCTTAGCCCTCCAGTCACTTCGAAGCCTGTCTTAGAAACAAAAAAAACAAAATCAAAATCCAATGTCGCGTTAAAATTTGGACATGAGAAATACAAAGACAATTTCTTGCACAGGAAGACTGAAACTTGCCTCTGAATTGAGTAATTGATTGCTCTTAAAGCAGACAAACTTGCATAGGCGTGTTGAAATCTTTTATGTAAAAAGGCCTGGGGGCTGGTTTATATTCTGATGAAGGGTAGGATTTCCTCAGTACTGCACTGTGAATATTCTTCTGTTAGTTACAAGTATGAAAAACCTCGAAAAGACAACAGTGATACACGAACACTAGCAAGGATTTAGGTGGTTACATCGTGGACGGGGAGGAACAGAGCCTTAATGTGTATATTTAACAAGTTTTTTCTCATAAAAAGAGACTGTAAGAGTGAATATTTGCAGAATGTTTGTTTAAACCTTAGCTAGGAAGCGAGATATGTGGTGACTAAAGTTACTGTTTAGAGATATACAAGATACTGGCAGATCAGTGGAAGAGAGCAAATAATACAATAATCTGTGATTGAAATATGAAGCGCGCTCCCAGGGCTTTGCCTGGCGATAATAATTACAGCAAATCTCTGTTTACCCCAGTTATCGACGCCCGCTTCGTTAGGTATATTCCGTGTGATTCGATGTCATTCACTTGGTTGACCAATTATTGATGGACCTGAAGATTCGTCAATATGAGTAAGAAAATGAATCAAAAAGAAAGTTTCCCGATACTGTAGGTCTGCTGACCTTCTGTATGGTATAGAGTGTAGAGTTGCCATAAAAAAATCTAAATTTTAACGTACAGTGTTACTAAAACTTGGAGGAAGCCCTCTTCCAATTGTAGTTTAATACTTTACTTGAAGAACTATCAGTCTATGCTTTACAGTAAGTAAATTAATAAAAAGTGTGTTGAACATACGCTACAGAACATGAAACAAGCTCATACATTGCAGACGGAATGAGTCCTCAAGAAGAAAAAATTAAATAAATAAAATAGAACACAGCATACAGCTTAAAAGAGTATTGTAAACATGTAGGATGTTGCCAGAAGGCTGTTTTGTTCCTGTGTTAATTGCATCTATTTTAACTCGTATGCTCTTAACAGCCTTGTTTCTGACAGCTGACAATTCTGAGCAGGGTAAAAGATTTTTATTATAAAATAGTTCCTGTTGCATCCACGTCATAATGATTCCTGCGTAGCGGAGTCTGACTGGTGTTGCAATCCCATGCTGGTCTCAGGTTAAAACGAAGACCACTTTAGAGAGGATGTCGACCATTATTTTTTTCCTTGTGGCGTTTCATTACGGGAATGAATGACTACTGATTGTCATCTGGTCACCCTTTAAACTGGGTTATTGTTGTCCATTTGTTTGTCCAACCAGGTGCCCTGACACAGAAAATAACTGTGTCCTGGTTGTTGTGCAGGCTGGCCGAAGCAACAGAGACCTTTCGTTTCTAAAAAACAAGAGCATCTGTCTTTTCAATGGCAGCGTTGTATGAGCTTTTCACCTTACGCATATAATAGCTAAACGTTAGCTTGGGTTCTGTATTTACTTTTCCGTGTGAAATTGCCTGTTTCCTAATTGGCTATTCTTTATTTACTCTCTTTTGCGCCTTTACTGTGAGCTTGTAGTGTTGCAAAAGGATTCTTTCATGGAATTTAGAATGGAGAAGCAAACGCCTTTCTTCTCTGATTCTGCTGGAACCAGAACCAGTGCCTCCATCAGTATTTAATTGAGCAAGCCAACAAACTCCACCTAAGACTAGCTCAACAAGAGCTCTTTGTTGAGTCATCTTTACTCTTTCTTTTTCAAACATGCACATTTTATCCCTCCAAGGGCATTTAATGTTACACACAAGCAGTCCCATAAGTAAACAGATTTCAGCTCCTTATGGTAAAATTGCATTGAGTCTAAGAGCCATATCTAAAAGGGATTTTAAAGAAAATGTAAGAGAGCCGTGTGGCTGTACCGTTGACTTGTGACTTGGTAAGAACCTGAAGAACCCTTGTTTGAGACTAGTTAAAAGCGCTTAGCCTACCAGGCCGGGCCGGCAGTGGCTCGGCCTGTAATCTCAAGCACTCTGAGAGGCTGAGGAGGGCGGATCGCTCAAGGTCAGGGGTTCGAAAGCCAGCCTGACAAGGAGAGAGCCCTGTCTTACTGTAAATAGAAAGAATTAATTGACCAACTATAAATCAATATATACAAAAAATTAGCCCGGGCATGGTCCGGTACATGCCGCCTTGTAGTCCAGCTACTCCGGTGGAGGCTGAGCAGGGGAAGGATTTGAGCCACAGGAGTTTGAGTGTTGCTCGGTGGCTCACCTCTGTAATCCTAGCACTCTGGGAGGCCGAGGCGGGAGGATTGTTCCAGGTCAGGAGTTCAAAACCAGCCTGAACAAAAGCGAGACCCCGTCTCTACTATAAAAAGAAATTAACTGGCCAACTAACATATATAGAAAAAATTAGCCAGGCATGGTGGCGCATGTCTGTAGTCCCAGCTACTCGAGAGGCTGAGGCAGGAGGATTGCTTGAGCCCAGGAGTTTGAGGTTGCTGTGAGCAAGGCTGACGCCACGGCACTCACTCTAGCCTGGGCAACAAAGCGAGACTCTGTCTCCAAAAAAAAAAAAGAACAGAAAGAAAAACGCTATGAACAAAGGCACAATACAAAGAACTTAAAGTGCATCAAACGGCACAGCATATCCATCTGCCTATCAACCTTGAGAACGACTCACTTCCAATTCTTTGGGACCTGCTCCAGGTTTAATTTACTTTATGATCATTAAGCCCATTATCAAGAGCCATTTTTCTAACACGTACACTGCTAAGACTGTGGGACTGTATAAAGACATCATTAAACTCGACCTGGCCCTTGGGGAGCTTGTAATTCAATGCAAACATTGAATTAGGAATAACAGATGCATATACACATGTGAAAAGAGCTTTAACACAAGCACAACAAAAATATATGCAGTTAGGATTTAGCCTATAAAAATATCTCAATTTGTTGTTATTTAATATGCATTTAAATAACTTCTACAGATGCAATTTCTGCTTGAGGACACTGTATTTACTGAGGCTCTAGGGCCTGAACAGCTGGCTGGAGGGAGCCAGTCAGTACCTTCACCTCTCCCCCTTAAAGATGCCTAACTTGGTTAAATGGACCTAATCCCCTTCAAGTGCCCGTTCCTAACTTTTAGCACGTAGTGATGGGATTGTGGGCTGAGTTGTCTTTCTCCTCTAGATGATGAGCTCCTGGTAGATTGGGACTGTTAATTTCCCTGTGCCCTGTACAGTGCCTGGTACACAGAAGGCCGGAGCTTAAGGCTGGAGTCCCCACTGGCTAAGCCTGAAGAGCATATGCAAGAGATAATACAAGGCATTTTATTTTGTTTCCGGAACAAAAGCATTGGGCAGACTGTAGATGTTGCCAAATACCTGTGACACTTTTTAAACCAGCGTTTATTTCTCTTACCGCAGTGACGAGAACAACTTCCCGAAACAGCTTTGCAAAGGCAGCAGAATGATGAGAACTGCCATCCCGGCCAGACACGATATTCCTATCTCCATCCAGAGCAGAGCAGTCACTGCGACGGCCTGCAGTGGTCCTGCCCACAGAAAGTGTAAGAAGATGGTTACCTTGAAAGAAAGAAACAAAGCGCTCTTAGGACTGTATCAAGACAAAATGAGCAAGAAAACAGCACAGAAACAATCTACTGGAAAAGAACCTGTAACACAGAAATGATCATAGTGGGTTGTCAACCTGCTAAAGCAGAAATCAAATTATCTACCAGGCATGAAGACATTCTGGGGAAATAAAGGGCAGGTTTGGGATATTTACAGAACTTAACCAGCCCCATCAAAAGGAAGTTTCTCGATCTCATCTATCTCATAGATGAACTGAGCACTTTCCAGAACTACCTGCCACAAAATTCTGCCCCCATCTCCCCTGGGGCTCCCGAGTACTCCAGGAAAGCCCGTAGTATGGTGCCTAACAAATTCTCCAGTAATTACTTGTGTGCAGCTAGAATGCCCTGGATAACATGATATATCCATGATGTATAAAAAAACAGGATGGCAGGATCAAGGAAACTGGGTTACTTATGACTAGGGACACCCAATCTGGCATTATTTACCAAAGGTCTTCTATATACCAGGCACTCACTTACAGGGCACAGGGAAATAAACAATCCCAACCTACCAGGACCTCGTCATCTAGAGGAGAAAGACAACTCACCCCACAATCCCATCACCACGTGCTAAAAGTTAATAAGGGACAACTCAAAGGGTATTAGATACATTTAACCAAATTAGGCAAGAACACTCCTGTCTGCATATTTATTACTGAAGTAAGCTGCAGAAAACATCAGAGAAAACTCTAATCTACAGGCTAAACACATATTACACTTAAATTGCACACAGACGAAGTGAAATCTGGGTAAAAGCTACCCTTGTCTTCCATCCTCAAAAAGAATCCTGGCCTATACCAAAAACAGGCACCGGACATTCCAGTGAGATGAACGAAGAAGGACGGGCGGGCAATGGAAAAGGATGCCTCAGGTGCAGCTTACCTGGTCAAACTTGTTCACATCGTTGGACAACAGATTGACAATCTGGCCTGTGGTTGTCTTCCCCAGGGCCATGTTACTAAGACAAAGTGCCTGAAATTAAAAAAAGGGACGTAGAGCATTGTATTCCCACAGTGACACCACATCACGCTTAGGACACTGCAGACCCCTGCCACTTTCGTGGGGTCTCGTGTGCTGTGAAGACCCGGCTGACCCACGACAGCAGCTCTAAGGAACAGCGTGTCCCCTCCAACGCCTTACGCAGCGGCAGCAGCTGTGCCCTACCAGGACAGCAAAGGGAGGAGGAGAAAAATCCCCCACACCTCAGTTTTTAACAAATTTGGACCTGCCCCAAGTACAAAAAGACTTAACATTTATCCTTAAGAGCCAAACAAAGTAACTGTGAGCCACACTAGATGACAGTAGAGCAGCTGTCAGAGGAATAAAATGAAGGGACTTGGATTACAAATCTGCAGTCGATCACCCATTGTCTGTGTGACGTCACTCAAAACACGTGGGGGCCTTGGTTTCCTCCTTCTGTGAATGGATATGACCCCCCACCTTGCCTGTCCCCAGGGTTCCAATGAGAGTGAAATGACAAGTGTTTATGGACTATCTACTATGTGGAGGCCGCCAGGGCCCCAAAAGGGATAGGGTGACCGAGTCTTGTTTTCTGTGTCTCAGGTGTCAACAGGACAGAGAACTGGGGAAGGCCAGAACCAAGGGACACTGTGAGTGGGAGAGACCCTGAAGATGAGGAGGAGAGACTGGGGGCGGGGGGAGGGTTGCGGGGGGAGACACTGCCTGCACATGAGTACAGAGGAGGGGGAGGGGCAGCTGAGGAGAGAATACCCAAAATCTGGCTGGGAAGCAGCAGTTTGGAAGGCGATGTAGCACAGTGAGTATGTTTTTTTAAGACAGAGGGAGAAACTCAACTTCCAGAAGATGAAAGTGTAAGAGTGATTGGCCAGGAGAATTCGTGGCCATGGTAATGACAGTCCAAGCAAGAGGTAACAGGACTGCCAGCTAGGCTTGTGGGAATGGGAGGAAGGGCAAGACAGCCATGAAAACATTTTGAAAAGTAAAAAATAGTATGCAAATGTAAGTGAATAAATCAAAAAAGATACAGAAAGAAAGAAACAGGGGTGGGGAGGTGGGAGGGAGACCAGTCAGCCCCTGTAGGAAAGAAACAAAACTTACTGAGCCTTAATTACTGAAAGCAAAGCGATCTGAAAATATTTTTAAAGCCAATGTTACATAGAAGCACACATTAACCCCACATGCAGAAAACCCGCTGCATATTTGTAAGGGAGTGGATATCTGATACCTAATTTTAACAAAATAAGGCAGAACGGAAACACCAAACTCTGATCCTAGACTGAGCATTATCAAAAACTCTGAAGACAACTGCATTCAACTGAAATTACCATTCATGTACTATCACTACTACCCACAGTGAGGACTAAAGGGTAAGATGGCACAGGTGACAATTTTTTGAAAAGTACAAAGTGACTTTGAGTGCGCCACGAGGGCTACAGGTATGTCTGTGACCGGCTGTATCGGTGGACTAAAAATCTGGGCTCTGGAAGCGCAGACACTTGGGTTATAACAGCAGTTAACCCAAGTTAACAATAACTCTGCAGTCAACAAAGAAATTAAAGGTCTGTGGAAATAAAATCTGCCATATTCCAGATAGGATTAAAAAAAACCGTGTAGTGCCATTAACAGTATTAATGAGGAAGACACAGCTGACAAGCAAACTGCTAGGCTTCTGCTTCCAACCACAAGAGAATAACTGGTACTGTACTAGCCTTCTGCTGCAAAACCGGACAAAACGTAGGAAGCAGCTGTTCTCAGGCATGTGAGCCTTAAGAGAAGGGAAATACTAGTGGTGGCCTGGGACTGGCAGGGCTTTCTGCCTGGGGGCATTTCCTGCCCAAGCAGAACTGCAGCTGAGGAAGAAGAGAAGGTTGTGCCAACTTGCATGAGTACCTGGAATTTCTGTGCCAGAGGGTAGCAGAGGGTAAAAGCCCCAGAAGTCTCAGTAGGGATTTGCCTCAAGTACTTTGCCAAGTGCTTCTCCCTCAAGGCAAGGCTCCATGAGGCTCACAGCAGCTGTGGGGCTGAGAGTGAAGGGCGACTCTGAAGGTCAAACACTGCCAGGAGACCCAGCAATGCCACCAATGAGAGGAAGGATATTTCCACAAGGGCCTCAGGGATTAAACCAGGAAGGCCGTGCCTTAGTAATAAAGATCTTACTCTAGAGTAAAAGCCATGAACTTTGAAGACCAAGTTCAAAATGGAAACACTTGCCTCATGACTGATTGACAGACGGATCCAATTCTGATTGCACCATTCTGCCAATTTAACTGCCTACCATAGCAAAACTCAGTACCCTCTAATCCAGACTTCCTATAATGCCCCATAATATATCACTCATAACGTTCAACACAGTAAAACCACTGTTAGACATGCAAAGAAACAAGTCTGACCCATAATCAAAGAGGAAAGGGAAAGTCAGAAATAGACCCTGAGATAATACAGATGAGTGGGATTAGTGGACAAGAACTATAAAGTAACTATTATCAATACACAAAAGAGTTAAACGACAAGGCGCAGTGACTCACACCTGTAATCCTAACACTCTGGGAGGCCGAGGTGGGAAGATGGCTCAAGGTCAGGAGTTCAAAACCTACCTGAGCAAGAGCGAGACCCCATCTCTACTAAAAAGAGAAAGAAATTAATTGGCCAACTAAAAATATAGAAAAAATTCCCCGGGCATGGTAGCACATGCCAGTAGTCACAGCTACACGGGAGGCTGAGTCAGAAGGGATCGCTTGAGCCCAGGAGTTTGAGGTTGCTGTGAGGTGGGCTGATGTCATGGCACTCTAGCCCGGGCAACACAGTGAAACTTTGTCTCAAAAAAATAAAACTAAAAAAATAAAAAAAAATTTAAAATAAAAAAAAAAGAGTTAAAGGAAAATAAAATTATAACAAGTGAAAAGATGGGTAATTTCAGGAGAGAGATGGACTTAAGAGATGTCTTAATTTCACCCTTATATTTTAAAGGGCATTTTTATTGATTATAGAATTCTGAGTTGACAGTTACTCTTGTGTTTCTTTCATCCCCATCGACATGGTTCCATTGTCTTGTTTTCATAGTTTCTGGTAAGTCCACGATTAGTTGTTTTGTTGTTCCCCCATATATAGTATGTCATTTTTATCAAACTGTTTTCAAGACTTTCTCTTACTTTTTGGTTTTCAGCAGTTTGGTTATGATGTGTGTAGGCATTGTTTCTATCCTTCTTAGGATTAAGATTTTTAGATATGTGAATTAATATTTTCTACCAAATTAGGTAAAATTTCAGTCATCATTTCCTCAAATATTTTTTCTTCCCTATTTTCTTTCCTTCTACGACTCAAATTACTTATGTGTTTCATTGCTTAATATTTTCCCATAGACCTCTCAGGCTTTGTTCTTTTTTTCAGATTTCAGATCACAAAATATCTTTCATAAATCAAGAGCACCTAAATATCAGTAAGAATTATAAAAGTCTACCAGTTTTTTAGAGGGGGTGGACAAATAACATGTGCAAGAAATTCATCCCCCAAAAAACCCACAACTGGCTAATGAAAATATGCAGGGAGAGAGGAGCAGAAAAAAGGGAAATAAACCAAAATATGCAAATACTCAAATCATTATTACTCAAAGACATGTAAATTATTTTTTACCTATGAAACTGGTGAAATAGCAGTGATTTAAAAAACATAACATCCAGCCTGGACAAGGGTGCATGGCCGTCTCACTTCCCAGGGGAGAACATAAATATTAATAGTTAACTCTTTGGGGAAAAGTCTGGCATATCAAATGCCTTGAAATTTCTATACCCTAGAGAATTAAAGGTGTTTTGTAAGGGTTAGCTTTAATTGTGCCCACTGAAATACTGTTTGTAATAGTCAAAAACTGGAAAATAATCCAAATATCTAATTATGGGCTATATTAGAATCTGTGTGGCAACTGAGAACAATATTTTGAACTGTGAAATGCAAACTCAATCAGAGTACTCAGAGCAGGGATCCATTTTAGGGTGGGTTACTACTGAGGGCAGGCAAGAGAATATGATTGGGATTATAAGAAAACTCTACAATCTAGAACAAAACATTAATTTTATTCAATCTTTTAAAAATATATTAAGTAATATCTACCATTCATTTGAAAAATAAACTCTTCTTTCTTGATTATTTTGATCAGCCAATGTGACACACAAACTCAAATGTGGACACACAAATAATCACCACCACCAAAGGAAGGGGATGGAGGAGAATGATCTTTCCATGGAAATGAGCTTTCCAGACTCAGGAAAGATCCATTTCCAGGTGAAATGTATCATCCTTTCTTGGATGAAATGCATTGATTCAATATTCGTCTTAATAGAAATCCTCACCAAATCTCACTCTCACAGTCCTTTTAAAACAGAAGATGCAAACTGCAATTCATCACCTTCATGACACGGATTTCCTCGCAACAAGCATGACTCTAACACAGTGTCCATGACCCTCGGTGTATGTGGACACTCTTCCCACAGAGTGTCCCAATGGCTATGCTTTTTGGATTTTGGTACGTTATCATTCCATTTTGTCCCTTGCTGCCAGGCTACCAGCTGTCCCTTCAAATTCTCACACTTATTACCTACTACTGTTTTTAGATGAGGATATGGCTTAATGGTATTGTAAGTAAAGTCAGTAAATAGGTTCTGAATAAACACATAAAGAAAACAAGTACTCAGGAGTTCAAGACCAGTCTGAGCAAGAGCAACATCCCGTCTCTACTAAAAATAGAAACAATTAGCCAGGCGTGGTGGCACGCGCCTGTGGTCCCCACTACTTTGGAGGCTGAGACAGGAGGGATGGCTAAGCCCAGGAGTTTGGGGTTATAGCAAGCTATAATGACAGTATTGCACTCTAGCTGGGGTGACAGAGCGAGACTGTCTCTCCAAAAAAAAAAAAAAAAAAACACACAAATACTTATGTTAACCTTTTTTGCAGTATTTTTAGCTTACTTCCTGGTTTACAACCCTTCCTGAGAGTTTGGT